TATCCTATTGAAAATTCTTAATAATTAAGTCTCTCAGTCATCAATTAATTTGGTTATTATCTATTTGGATATTATCCAATTAATTTGGTTATTATCTATTTGGATATTAGATGCCTCATTTGAAACATTTTTAGATTAAACATTCATTCCTTTTCAACTTTAGATTTAGGTGCTTTAACTTTTGATTAAACTCCGGTTCGATTTTTTTACTTAAAGTTGACTTTTCCAATCAACATGGTTCTTTTTTATTTTTTTTCATACGGTTCTATGCGGTTTTGCAATTTGGCTGTTTTTATGCCCACCCCTATGAGCTCACTTGCTTGGTTTAACACTCTGTTGTGATTTTCAGCTTTCTTTTTCTTTTGGATGTATCAGTTTCAACTTTTGACAACTATTAACCATTGGAAATGTTATGCATATATAAGGTTGAAGTAATTAACAATTCAGTTCTCATTAAAGTTAAGAAATACTCCCACGTGGTGAATTGTCGTTTTGATTATGACATTTCTATTAACTTACGTGGTTTCAGTTTAAAATTCTCCTACTTTTCTTCATATTAGATTTATACTATTATTATAAAATGTTAAAAATACTCAATCTTGAGTGTGGTCACAAGCAGGGTGAAATTCTTCATAGCCTTCCCAAGCTCAGAAAAGGTGAATAACATGACTTACTATTAGTTGTCCCTTTTTTGAAAAAAAAAACTGAGGACTATTGTTTTACTTTTACAACAAAGTATTATTTTTGGAAATTGTTTTTTATACTTCTCACGAGTGTATTTTTCTTTCTACATATAGAAAATTTAAAGCTCAAAATAAGAAATGATTGGAACTTTTTTTATACGATAATACTTAGAGCTTGTTTGGATATGCATTTAAAATAATTAAAAGTGCTTTTTGATAAAACATTTTTGAGTTCCAAAAGCACTTCAAGTGCTTTTTACGAGAAAAATCATATATGTGTTTCTTTCAAGAAGCACTTTAATTACTTTTCCAAGATTTGTTACCATTTTATCTAAGGATTGTCTCAATAAATATTTTCATTAAAAACGCTTTCAGTTATTTTAAAAACACATCTAAACACACTACATATGTTGTGCTGTTTGAGTCGCATATTCAAAAAGAGACAACTTCATAATTTGCTAAGATTTTTTTTTTGAGAGAAAATTTGCTAAGATTTATAGTATTCTAATTACATTCTTTTTTAAAATGGGGACCCGCGACCACCCTTCCAGAGGCTATAGTATGGTAATTACACTAGACAAGGATTGTCTGCATTCCCGTACTTTCTTGTTTTGTATGATCACGATTAAATCACGTTAATATCTTATTTTATTTTTTATAAAAAATATTAAAATAAAAATAATTAGTAATATAAAATATTAACGTAAATTAACCATAATTACACAAATAAAAATGTACAGAAAAACACGAAAAATGAAAAAGCTGACAATCAATTAGTCTTCTGTGTTGGGACGTTGCAGGAAAAACTGACACAAGAAAATCGTAATTAATGTATCATCTGGGAAAGACGCTCTTTTACAACAGAGCTTTTACTGCATAGGGAATCTCAAAACCAAAATAACACGAGAAATCAAATGCATGCATAAGCACTCGTTCACGCACCTCCCCATCTGCGTCGGTGCTTACGTTACGGACTCACGACCAAAACCGCGTTCAAGGGTTTACTGAGCCAGCAGAGTTTGCGTCCACATTTCAGGAGGTGACGCGCCTTTTGGAGAGTGAAGGGCAATCAGTGGGCATCCTTCAGCTTTAACCACTCTGGTAAGTTGGAATAGCGCCTGCCAAAAACGTGGATCTGCATTGTTTGCCATCTGCCTTGGGCCCCACCGCCTGAGATACGGCTGCCCACTTTCATATGCTGACGTCATGTCTCAGATTGTGGCAGAGGAGAGTCACGTTATTCTGTACAATTCTAATTCAGTGATATTTTCTTTTACTCAAAAAATAGGATGTTTGAAATTCGACTTACATTGAATAACATATTGTAGGTGTTAAGTTGGGTACTTGATTATTGATTGAGTAGAATATCTACATAAAAAACAGTATGATTATTAATTTTATTTGATTTTTTCAATAAAATCAATGAGTTAGTTATAAATATATATATATATATATATGAATTGGAACAAGTATTACATCATTATAGCCATTTATATGAGTTAAAGTAAAACTTCTCATTTACTAGTGACGAAGAATGACATTGTTCATATGAATTAAAATCATTCTTTAACTTGTGTGTAAATCAAAACTATTCTTGTTGTTAGGTCATCTCCAACCGAATGAAGATCAGATAACTTGTTTTAACCCTATAATCATTTAAGAAATTAATGTTTTAATGAACAATGTCACACCATATTTCTTATCATATCCAACTGAGACAACAGAGTCATAGGCCAAATATAAAATCTCCAAAATTTTCAATTTTTCTTCCAAATTTACAACTTTTACAACAAAAATTTCAAGTAAAACAAGGACTTACACTCAGATAATCGTTGGAGATGCCGCCGCACGCGGATTCTCCGCAAATTTTAAGGAAAATGGGTCTGTCGGAAGGTCCAAAGTAGACGAGAAATTCGTAGTATCGCTGCAGGAATTTGCGGCGGTCGTACGGCGAGAAGTGGTCGAGTGCCTGATCGAACCAAAGCTCTTCCTTCGTCAAGTGTTTGCCGCTGCCGCTTCCCGACGAGCTCTCCAGCTGAAGAAGTGTTCGGGGATTCACAAAGCCATAAGAGAGCGGCGCCCAGAGCATAATCGTGAAAAAGAAGGAGAATGAGAACGAAAACGACGTCTTCATCGAAAGTCACGTCATCGGAATCGTGTGGTTGATACGCCGCCAGCGGTCGGTCTGTCAAAATCTCAACAGAAAAAACGAGTGCAGCAATTGCAAGCAATCCATTGCTGTCCTGGATTTTAATTAGATTTTGTTTTGGTTTTATTGAGACCGGGGTCTTATTCGTTCTGGTCAGTTTTTCTATCTGCCTCTCCCTCTCTCTCTCTGATTTTGCTAGCTTGGAGCTTGGATTAAATAGAAAAAGGATGACGCAGCGAGCAGATGAAGCAGATGAAACGAAGCAGGAGGGCTGGCTGGCTGGCTGATCTTGGCCAGCCCGCTGGCCTGTTTTGAGACTTCCGGCTAGGTGGGCTCACAAACCATTTGTCCTAATCTTCAGTTGGAAACAGTTTTCGTGTCAAAAAGACTATTTTTAACCTTATAATCTTTGGCCGGATCAATTGGAAATGATCTTAGAATCTCGACAACACATAGTGTCATATTATTTGACGAGAGACTTTCTCATTTGTATGATTATATGAGTAAGCAGAGGGTTCCTCTCTTCTTATCTCTTATGATTACCGTCTTAGTGAATAACAAGTCAATTGTTGTGATGGTGTTCAAGTCTAAATACTCAATCACCTTTTTTATCCACATCAAAATGTTGGAATGCTTGGTCACTCACCCATAAATTTAATAAAATTAAACATAAATAAATATAGTGTTTTACTCCTAATAATTTTGATATCAATTTCAATGTGCGACCATGAATTTTTGGTCACCAATTAATGCACATCTTTCAAAGATTTGTCCTTCTTTTAAGAACGCTGCTTGCTGAGGAGAGATAATCGGGTTGCAATACGACCAAACCAATCAGCAAGAATCTTAGGAATAATTTTAAACAATAAGTAAGCAAGAGCAATTAGGCAATACTGTGTAATATTGTCTGCCGTTTCCATTTTAGGGCTAAGATTCACAGAATTGCAATTAGCATTCGAGTACAACCAACCACGCTTAAAAAATCTTGCACAAGAGCAATAACATACAAACCAGCAATATCCCAACAAGAAGGATAAAAAGAATATAAAAAAAATGAAAAAAAAAAAAACTAACGAAAATTTCAAAAAAACTTTAGTCTTAATGAAAAATGACAAATAAAGATGTAATAAATAGTATCAGAGAAAGGTAAAAATGTAGTTTTTCGTTAAAAATGAACAGTACCAGAAGTGTTTCGTTGAAACTTCCTAAAAAAAAGTTGTCCGGACCTGGAGCCCTTGCAGGAACAACGTAGCTGGTTAATACAAAGCAAAAAAAGATTTTATAGGAAAATATCCTTGACGGATTTTTAAAACTATACATACTTATCAAAATATGTTTTTCATGTAGTTTTTCAGAAAAATTACATAACCACATACAAGTGTGATCATATTTTTGTCTTAAGTTTGTCAGACTGCCTGTTATCATGATCAAGTTTCTAGTAACACATAATAACATCATTCATAAAGCAATATTATAGTCACCCGTACTACTTTTAATAGTATCTCTTTAATTGCAAGAAGAAGAAATTAATAAATGACGAATTTATATCAAGTTTTCCCGATTTTCCTATTATATTTACTCCTTATGTGAGCTATCCTAAAAAATAAATATATAACTCATAGTTAATGTCATTTAGTATTACGATTGAGTGGTATCCTTTTTACTTGTAAGTGAGAGCTCTTATATTCAATTATTGTCAAAAGCGAATTTGAATCACATTATTTATAATCTATTGTAAGATTAGGTACACATCATCCCCTAATAAAAATAATATGGGTTATTCAAAAAAAAAAAAAAAAAAAAAACCCAAGCCAATATATGTGGGGTATATTCCTCGGAATTGGATCATTTTCTAAGCAGGAGATCAGGATTCTCCTGACCTACTAACATGGGTCATTAGATTTTGATCCAATGGCTATAAACAGGAAGTTCTCTAAAAATTATAATAATTATAACCGTTGGATCAAAATCTAAAGATTAATGTTACTAGATCAAAAGTATCTGATCTCATGCTCAGGAGAGGATCCAATTCCATATTCCTCTCCTCAACCTCTCTCTCTCTCGCCTTCCCTTTAAGTAGTCACTAATAGTCTGACAGTCTGACCGGCTTCAGTTTCTTTTTATTAATTTCACATTGAGTTGTCCAACTCCAAGTCACCAACCCCCCCAAAACCCCCATCCAAGAGCGCTCTATCAAAACCCAGCTTCCCCATAACACCCATCTCAACAAAATCCCAGAGAACCAGAGGAGTTAAATCCCAGGACAAAAAAATGTGGCTGGTGTACGTGTGCGACGCGGAGGAGAAGGAGCTGGGGAGGCAGCAAGCTCCTGGAGCATGCCCGTACTGCGGAGGCAAAGTGCAGGCGGTGGATGTCGAGGCTCAGCGGAAGCTTTGCTTTCTGCCCTTGTGCTTCAAGATCAAGAGGAAGTACTTCTGTACTCTCTGCTCCAGGCGCTTGGTCCTGTACTATTAGACAACACCAACAACTATGTATAATTATATAACTACTACCAGAGACCCAAGAAATCGTAGCTAGATTTGTGATTCTCTCTCTCTCTCTCTCTCTCTGCTATTTTAGTTTTGAGTACAATTATTAATGGGATTCAGGAACCAGCTGGGGCTTTTGTTGTACAAATGACTGTTAGATGGTTCTTAATTCGAATGTCGAATTGCTAATGACAATGACATGCGATCTGCTGCTGTTAAATCTAATTATTGATTGGTTGGAATGTCTTGTGTCTGTTTTTTTGGTAATTTATTGACCGGTTTAAATTTATAATTACTTGTTTAGAGGAAATCACCAATCATCAGTGTAGCATTATTTGTTTGACATTTAGAATTATGCAAGTAGTGGATTACTTGGTGATTACAATTTAGTTCAAACTTTTTCTCTCTATAACTTATAATATAGTGTAGTAATATCACTTATACTCACGAAATTCTGATTATATTTTACGAACATTAATCATTGGCTCTATGTGTTTCTTTGCTTCATTGCAGGTTAGCTTATAAGTCCCACATTGTTTTTAAATTTTACCAATATCAAAACATGGGGGTTTCGAACCTTCTATCCACCACCAACTCATTTCTGTTTTTTTAATGGCGACCAACTTTTTTGTGCAGAAACTATATTTCATCAGGAAATGTCTAGACACCTTCGATTGCCAATTTTTATAGGAAATAACACATCTACATTTCTCTAGGTTAATATTTACGATAAACGTTAGACTTTAGTACAAGATATACGGATTACTGATAAAAGGGTAATGCTAGGAAGATTAAATTTAAAGACAAAATTTGTAAATTAAATAACGTGTCACCAATAAAAATGAGCATATTTATCAACGCTTAGGTAATAATTCAATCATCAACTTCCATATCATTTAATTTCTAAAATTTTGTCTATAAATTTAGTCTTCATATCTTTACCCTTAAATTACAGACTTCTGTTGCAAAAAAGAGAAAAAAACGACTTGGAGCTCCGAGAGAATAAAATTAACTTTTGTTTGTTTATTAATATTGTCTTGGTTTTTTAAAATGAAATTTAGACAAAGTGTGGCTGAAAATGTACGTATAGCCAACCCATACATTGTCTTCTGTAATCTGTAACCCGATTATTGAGTTTGTCGACAATTGTCTGAGGGAGTTGTTAAAGCGTTCTGAAAAAGACATTATCTGCTATATATATAAGATGTAAGTGAAAAAAGTTGTACATTCGGGAGAATTATAGAATGACATTTTTTTCTTTTTGAATAAACAGTATTATCTATACTAAGGGATAAAGGGTGAACTTAACCTCACAATAGGCTAACGATAATGTGGTTTTAATTCGTCTATGATTCTTTTAAAGTGTCTTTTAATGCGCAAATGTTGATTTTATAGAGAACCTTGAGCAGTGGCTGTGCCATAAAATCTACTAAAGGGGGTCAACCTAATTAACAAAAATTAAGATTAAAAAAAAAAAATCATCTAATAGCACAAAATTCTTGCCTTTGCCAAGTTGATTTTCCGCATTCAAGGATTGAGGTGCCATAATAATGCCTCTTCATGCAGGGGTAGTAAATTTCACTAATATAAAAATTTATTTCATAAATAACCACAACTATTATTGTATATAGCATCCATATTACCAATTGTTATATCTTAGGAGCCTAGAAACATATGAGTCAACGACTCAAAATTTGCGTAGTTGTGAAATTTATGTTAGTTTTAATTTTACTAAAGGTCCAATCACTGAGAAAGGTCATGACTTGAGAATAATGTGTAAAAAATCAAATTTAAACATATATAAATCGCAAACTGTTAGATTGAGAAGGGTCAGTTGACTACCTTGAGCGTTCATTGGCGTTGCCCTTGACCTTGAGTAGTTGTCACATCCCATCCCAATTTTAATTGTATTTTATTCCCTAGCAGTGAGAAATTACAAAAATGCTTCTGATGGCCTAAATGGAACTCTTATGCGGACATTTAAGTACCTTTTACTTAAATCAGACATGCAACGAACGATTTACGCACTTATTCCAATGCAGGTTATTTTCCGACGAAGTCTTAGCTCAGTCTCGTCGAGTTGGACGAGATTGAAGCCATAGACCACTCCCCCATCATCTTCAGGCCTGGATTAAAGTTATGTATGCTTGAATCGGCCTCGGTTTCACTGGATTCCAATTGATATTAAACGAAAGTTCTTTGGAGACTTGGTTGTCGACATGTGGGTTGGAAACACTTTTTTAATCCTTTTGTCAGACTCTATGCATCAGATATGAGCATTTCCGGTAGGACTACCCTGACTAGCTCAGTTAAAGTATTTCCGTGTGTCAGAGCTCCATTGGAATAAAATTCCTCTTGGGAATTTCCAAGTCTGGATGCCCTTTTCGGATCTATTAGCATACGATGTTGCAGAACAGACTTGACTTAATATGCTCATCCAAGATAGAAGTAGTCATACTTGGGATCAGAGTTCAGAGCCACATTCGGATGATTTCCGAATCGCCTTTTCAACTATTCCCTTGAATGGCGTATGGCCCATGTTTGAATGTTATAACTCATAACTTTGCTAGTTGTATAAACTTTCCGGAGGACGGATGGTGCATTGGACTTCCGGGTCAAGGCGCGATGTGCATGTGCCTGTAACCCACCAATTGTAATTGCGCTTATTATGGTTCGAATCTCCCAAGCTAATAACCATTTTAATATGGGATGGGCTAGACATTGTTACTTTTGAATTTTAGACTTGCACTCGTGCAAAGTTTTCAAAGTTTATGCTTTGTTTTGAAGTGAGTGAGGTATTCCCTGCATCACCAAAAAGAGAAAATAAAGAAAAAATATTGAAATTAAGACAAATAAAGCTTCCTTATTTAACGAGAAAATAGGATTAATTGACTAGGGTGTGTGATTGACTCTGGAAATGATTGTTTGCATATCTTCGAGGAGGAGAATCAAATAACTGATGTAGCTCTAAAAGCATGATATAATGTAAAAATTACATCAGGGATCACTTTTGACGATAAGCCTATGATGGGGTGTTAGGAGAAGTTCTCCATAAAACATGTCTTCACGTAGACGGCGACGTTGCGATTGAGTCTAAAATGGACTGCCAACATATCCCAAGAAAGGAATCAAACCATGTGTAGTTCAGATATTACCTTTTGCCTAGGAAATAGGGAAAGGTCTGTGAGGGGCATGTCTTTCACTAGCAGAGGCCCTCCTTCCTAGCATCGATTCTTCGATTCCCCTAGTATCTGACCTTCTACAGCTTGCCGTTATGGTCAAATAGCGAGGTAAAAAGTCATCGACCAAAGGAATTTACCCAAGTTGTGTAGCCATTCTCAGCCAAGAATGGCGTTGTAAGGGGATAGGCAATCTATGACGTGGAAGGTCATCAGATGTTTGGACAGTTTCACTCGCACCGCAAGCTTTATTTATGGTTCCCAAGGTGTAGAGTGAAACCCTATCAAGGGTTTAGATAATAGCCCTTCTGTTGTTGACCCAACCGAGGATGCCTATCATTTCAGCCGTACCTCTAAAAAAAAATGTTACCTTCTAATCCATTATCTATCAAAACTCGGCCTACCATGGCGTTAAAGATTTGCAGCTTGACAACAAGAGCGTCGTTAAGGGGAGGGCAAACAGCTTCTAGTCATGCTTGGTTGGGGTCATTCACGTGCCGCCTTCCTTCCTTTCTGTGCCTTTTGGAAGCATCCCTACTTTCCATATGTAAGGTTGACCCTGGAAATAGTTTTGTTCTCGAACATGGGATCAGAGTAGACCTTGGGTTCTCTGTGGCTTCCCACAGTGTACTTTTGGAGCAAGTTCTCGAGTCAACATGCATAGACCTTGACTAGCCATTCTTGGTGGTGCCTAGATGGCTGAGTTTCGAAATGGGTGACGGTATCTTCGATATTTTTCATCTGCTCCTCTAGCCTAGAGAGTCTTGCCCGCTCCTTGGATTGCAAAATTTTTCGGATGTCCTTTGTCGATGCACGTATCTTCAACACGCCGCCCCAGGCTTGATCCATGAAAAATGTATCTTTGTTATTCGGGTCGATGTCTCGACTGTGGGGTGACTATCTAGGAAAGATTTCCATAGGGGTAGAGTGATATAGTCGAGAAGAATAAGAGTTCACTCTCAATGAAAGCATCCATTGTTGGAACCAAATTCACGCACCACCGTATGTGAAGGAAGTGCACAAACTCGAGCAACCTGCAAAACAATAAACAACCGTGAGCAAGCCCAGGACCAGGGGAGGGGAGTGTGGGCCAAAGGCTCTTCGACGGTCAAGTTAGTGAACAATTTCAGACTCAAGTAGTGGGTAAGAGAATTCAAGTGTAAAAATTGCGTTACCAAAGATGAACCTCGATGTTTTATTTAATCTATCAAGCTAGATTCATTGGTGGGATAAAAAATTAGTCCACAAAATAGTCTGAATAGCATCTCGTCAAGAATTACATAAATCAATTTGGAAAATGCTCTAATTTACACTGTTATTATTCAAAACCAATGGAATACCACTAAATTAAGCAACCATTGTTAGTGTTCACAGTGAATGCAATACTGTATTACATTCACTTTAAACCATAATAGTGGAAAATTAGAGTATTTTCCAATCAATTTTAAGCATAGCCATGTATGGTGGGTGTGATTGTTTTTGTTTTCTTGGGTGAAAGTTAGGTTTAGAGTATATGCAAGGCTATAGACAAAATTGTTACGAGAAGATAGCAACTTATAGGGCACAAATACATTTGTTATGTGGCAATTTGTATCAATGAAATAAGGACATCTGGACAAAAATTTATTCATGTTTAGTTTGTTGTTACAAAATGCCAACGTAACAATATACCCATATCATGTAAATTGTTCTCCTATAAAAGGTTGCGGGAGTTTTCTTTTTCATTCAAAGGCTTTGACGATAATTGGAGTTCAAAACTATACGTGCAAACAGACAGGGAGGTGAGGTGCTGCCAAATCAGACCCTTAGGGATCGGTTGGTTTTAGCAGATCGACCCTTGTCGTTTGCAGAAGTGGGTGTGAGATCGATTTCTATTTCAATCTTTACCATGTTTAAGCATGCAATAGGGTGGAGGGGCCAAACGACTTACATTACACTTCCAGAAAAAAGCCGAGTACTTTTCGGTTTTGGGATACTATCCAATAAATAAATAAATAAGTAGCTTAATTAGTAGACATCGTTTATATCATGCAAAAGGATTAGCAATTTTTTTTATACGCATAAACATTCGCACATCAGATAATTAGCAACAGATAAGCAACCCTCTGTAGAAATGTGAGAGTGTACGTTGTTGAGAATGAATATCACATTGATGAGAGAACGGACCTTACATGTGCTTATAAGTAGCTGAGCTGCTCCCCATATTGAATTAGTTTTATAGTGGAACCTCAACTTTCTTGACACGTATGATTGTAAAACCTAGTTTCCTTTCTAAAATAACTAAAAAAATGTAACAATATATTTAACCGAATGTAATACGAGAGAAACTTAGAAAGGCACACCCTTCTTGGTAAATGCTCATCAGAAAGAAAAAGTTGACTGTTAAGTGGATATTTAGGGTACAATTTATATAGTTGAGAAGAAATTAAGGTGGTCCATGGACCATGCGTAAATGGTATACATGAAGCATTTGGCATAAAACAATTCACAAAAAACCCAGAAAGCGTTGTTTGGACTAATCAACCGTGGAGATGTCCCATATAAAGTATTTTGCATAAAATCCAGAAAGAGTTTTGCATCTACAAAATCCCACAGAGAAGCAATTCCCACCCAGGCAGAGAAGCAAACCCAAATTCTAGTCGAGTTGAGAGGCGCTGAGGGAGGGAGTCGATGACGAACCACCGACGAGCAATTCCCACTCACGACGATGATGATCGGTGGATGGTGTGTGAATTATGGAGAGAAAGATCGAGAAACTGGGAGAGACTCGTGTGAATTGTGATTTGTGATATGTGTGAAAAATGAGTGTGGACAGTGGAGATTTACTCAATAAAAAGTTGGAGCGTTGATACGGTCTGGGCCGGGGGCCCTTGTCCTCAGATATTTGGACCTGCCCCACCCCATTTCGTGTATAAAATATATGAACCCACCCCGACCCACAAGTCTAGGACCCGTTTGCCCATTCCTAATAGGGTTATTTGGAGATAGGTCCTTGAAACTCTTATTTTTCAAACAAAAACTCACCTATCACTACTACAAAAAAGTCTTTTTCTGAGGAAAACCAATTTATCGTGCAAAGAGAAATTTCGTCATGCAAAATTTGGGGATACAAAACCTTCATCGCCTAGAAGTCCTTGGGCAAAGGTCGAGAAGCAAAAGAGTTGCGCAATGAAGATGAAAGGTTTGTCACACAAAGGATTTGTGTGACAAAAATTGGTCAACAAGGTGATTCATTGCGATAAAGTTTAAGGGTAGAAGATCACTGGTCGCTACAACTTTCAGGTGGAACTTTCATGCCAAGGTTGAGGCAAAGAAGCATCTTCGTTACAAAAGACTTTGCACGGCGAAGGTTGTCGTCGGAAAAATCCCACAACGAAATTTGTCATATTTTTTTAGATTTTTTATTTATAAATAATATGTCGCTTGAATTTATGCGGGATGAAAATTAAATTTCAGGCGACAAAATATTTTCTTATTTTTAATTATTAATTTATTTTGTTAAATTAGAGTTTCAATTAATTTAATGTTTTGTTATTTAAATAAAAAAGATTAATTAATTTAATTATTATTTATATTATATTTAGAAATGCAAGTACAAGCAATAAAAATGCTATAGTATCCTAGTACAAAAAAAAAACTAGGGAAAATTAGATTCTACCATTTCTTTTTCACATTTTTTAAACTAAACATTTGTACTATTTTAAGTTTTGATTAAACTTTTAAAATTTTAATTAGGGTGCTTTAATTATGTCCACATCAGCATTTTCTTATTTAACTCATTATCTTTTATTAATGTAAAAGGATATATACTCATTTCCAGTTTATCCCTTAATATCTATTATTAAGTTTTAATTATCTCCCTAAAAATTAGAGAACAGTTTTCTGCATTTTCGTTTCTCTCACCCAGTTCATCAAAAGAGAGATACAGTCGTGAGAAATTTTGTAGGGGAGAGAGAAAGAGAAAGAGGGAGAGATGGAATAGCTACTAAAAATAAGCTGAAATTTGTTAGGGGAGATAGAGAAATTAGGTGTTCATAAACAATGATCTATTTTATTGGCTTGCGAATGTTCTGTGATCATCTCTTGACATGGATCATTACAATTTATTTTTCAAATAGAAATGTACCAAAGTCAAATTGAAACGTACCAAAGTCAAATTAAAATGTACCAGTATCGAATTAAAACGTACCAATGTCGAATTAAAATGTACCATGCAACTTGAAACGTAGCTCATGTCAAAGTGAAACGTATCCACTATAATATCTAGAAGGCAATGCGCCAATCGAAATTAACTTTCCAAACGTACCATGCAACTTAAAACGTACCTCATGTTAAAATGAAATGTACCCACTATAATATCTAGAAGGCAATGCGCCAATTAAAATTAACTTTCCAAATGTACCATGGTACGTGAAAAACTATGAAAACATGGATAAAAAGTGTAGTAAAACAAAAGGCTTACCCTATGGTATCAATATTCAAATTTGAAGGTGTGATATATCATACCACCATCAAAGTTGGTGGAGAACATTCATTAAATTAACTTAAATGATGGTACGATACACACATCGATTGGAAGAGTTGGTGTGTGCTCCAATACGGTGTGGAGTTGGAAGAAAAAGGTATGTAAGAATAGAAGCAAATATCAAGTTGTTTTTAAAAATTTTAAAAGAATTTATGTTGAAATTGAATACTGAATCATAACCACTAGAGATTTTACAGTTAATTTGATACACTAAATATAATGACAAATCATATAATTTTGTATTATGTGGCGCCTAAATTGTAGGACGATATTTAATTAAAATTATAAAAGGCATGGATGTTTAATCTCAAAATTTCAAAAGTTAGGCATCTGTATCAAAACACCCCAAAAGTCTATAAAAACGGGGCTCGAAATCTATTAGTTGGGACGCTTAGGGATCTGCGGGTGGAGCGACTGGGAACGAACATAATGTGTAAGGTGGATGGGAATCTGGCATCGGAAATCTTAGAATTAAAAAAATTAGTTATTAATCCTAATAGGAATTCATATGTATATTAAAATTTAGAAATAATATACTTTTACCTATCATCGCTTCTCTAACCTATAAGAGAATGGTCTTGAACCGAAATGGTGGGAAAGTTTATTTTTCGACCTATGTATTAGCGTGTTTATTAAAAAATAACAAAAAATTATTAAAAATTATTATACTTACCAAAAACTCGGGGTCCTGAAAATGCCTGCATAGCCATTCCCAATCCTCTAGGCGCTCCATCAATTCCTTAAGGTGGCCTTCTTGGAGAGTGGTATCTACATCTGATAAAGACTTAAAATGTTTGTGAAGGTCGCTCTTTCACTCGGGATACCACTTCGTGAAAGAGCATTGAGGTGCTCAACATCATAGTTTAGCTACAAAATTTAAAAAATATAAAAAAAATATTAAATTATTGATAATAGAATACATTAGTAAAAAAAAGTACTATTAATGGTACTATATTATGAAAAAAAATATATTAACAATAGTATATGTTATTAAAAAAAGTACTAATAAAAGTTGAAAATACTAATCGACAACATCGCGTTCTTCGTGTTCTCTAGCACTGCTCTCCGTGTATCCCACTTCATACGGCAATGGGTCTGCCCTAGAAACTCAACGCCATAGGCCAACCTGCTGTGCTGCTCAGACATTAAGGCAACACGGTGTTAGGGATCATAAGTAAGGGTGAATCAGTCGTTTGCCACATGTGTCACCTTCACGATCTTGATCTGTCTCCATGGCCCTCTAGTATTTTTCTTAATTGAAAAAAAAACATTTACGGTCATAAACCAACCTAAATTCGGCAGAACTTTCCCTAAAAATATAACATTTTTTATAACATTCAAACAATAATACAACAGTAATACACATCCAACCAACAATTTCAACAATTTTTTCACTTATATATCATGAAACCAACATTCGCAGCATGCACCCGATTATAATAATCAACAAATATTTTTAAAATGCAAAAAAATTACAATATCAATAATTTAATACTACATGTCTGTGATCCCTTTCCCTCCACTGTGGATGTCACGAGAGTCTGCTCTGGGTGGTCGCCAGTGAGTCCGACGAGCGCTCATCTGTAGATGCATCACTGAAGCGGTGGATGACGTCGGCACCTCAAAAACCGGGGGAGCAGCCGGTGTAACAGTTGTAGGCTCTACAATTGGTAGAGCACTACCAATCGGAGCAGGATGTGCATGAGGTGTGAGAGGTGCACTAGTAGCTGAGCGGCGGTGAGAAATCAAACGCAAAATCTGAAAATTTACCAACAACGAAGTAATGAATTTATCCTAAAATTACAAAATTATTTATAAAATTAAAATCTTAATCATAATATTAAACTAGCATATGGACACACATAAGGTGTGTAAGAAAAATTTTTATTTTTATTTTTGAAATAGAAGGAGAGAGGAAGATAGTGATAGAGAATGTGAGAATGGGAAGTTTTTTATTTTTTATTTTTTTTTATTTGTTTTAAATTAGAGATATGTTATGATTCCGTATAGGTGAGTCTTTGAAAAAAAAAACAAAAAAAGAGCAAAATTTGGTTGTGTGAAATTATATTTCTACTCCATATTTCTTATTCATATTCTGCTTTAATTAGAGGATTAAACTGGTAATTTTATATAATTTTAATTGATAATGAGTGTTTTATTAATTAATAGAAATAATTATCCTCAATCTAAAACTAAGAAATAAAACTTCATCCTAAATCCTAATATACACAAATTATTAAACTATATAATATCCTAAATCCTAAAATTATTAAACTAAAACTAAAATAAATCTACCGAAAAAAGAAAAAAAAAACTCAAAATTATTAAAACAAATTAACTAAATTAAAATTTGTAAAAAAAAAATAAAGAAGGATAACAGAAAAACGAACTCCGACACCCATCTTCCCCACTGTCGTCGGCTTCCACTGCAGGACCTCCCATTCCTCCTCCCCTTGCCTACGCTCACCCATTCCTACCCAGCTGCCAAAACCCATCCGCTGGCTCCCACCCCCATCCATTCCTCCCCAGCCGCCGACATATATCCCCACCCAGCCGCTTAATCCCCTCTATAGAACCGTAAACCCTAATTAACTTTAATAATTAAAAGTTTTAAATTACAGAGAAATTCGAGAGTGAGAGATTACCTTGAGCTTGAGTGAGGAGGGGATTCAAGAGAGGGAGGAATTTGAAAGGGAGAGAATTCAGAGAGGGAGAGATTACAAAGAGAAAGGGTTGGGTCTAAGAGAGAAAGTTTGGGGGGTGTTTAAGGGGATGTAGTCAAATTATGATTTGATAGTATTTTGATAAATTTTAAAATTAGAGTGTAATTAATTAGGATTTTAAAAGAATATTTAAAAGACTTTCAAATAATGATGTAGTCAGATTAGTATTTAAGAGGATTTAAAAAAATACATCTAAATTCATGGGTATTTAACTGAGATTTTAATTTATGTTTTTAGAGTGATTATAAATCTGTATGTATTAAAAAAAAAAATCAAAGATTTGGCGGTATTTCATTAAGTTGTGGATTTTGTGGAACTTGAAAACAAGAAGTATACATAACCAAGATAAAAAAAAATAATAAAAATAATAAAAATAAAAATAAAAAAAAGAATCCCACATCACCCCTTAGGATTTCAAATCCAGCTTATGTTCTTCTAGCTATCTTCCTTCATTCTTTACTTCTCAACCGTCACTGTCCTCAATCCCATCTTCCTTGAGTATAATTCTGCAATGCTCAACCATCATGTTAACGTCAAATACCCACACACCCTGGTTGACGTGCCATGTTTGCTACCGTTTTTAGTGATTCCATTGTCATTTGACCATTTTTACAGTATCTTGAAGCCAAAAAGGGACCATGTTCTGTAATCATCCTTTGCTCCTTCTGAAAGTTTCTTGGGAAATAGAAAATATAACCCATTTTCTTAATCTTGGGACAAAAATAGGATTTTTTTCGAATATGCACATGTCATGCACAACAATAAGACATAAATAGGATTTTTCGTACACCTTGAAATGACTTAATTGCCCTCATATATAAATGAGTTATTTCCTTCCATTTTTTGACTTCTCTATATCTACTCTCTCTACTTTCCCTCCCTTTCTCTCTAACATTGATATTTATTGGTTGTTCTTAGATTAGTGAAAGATAATAGAAACCCCAATTGGAAGATTTAATTTTGATTATATATGCTTTGGTTGGAAGGGAACACATTTATGTGCTTGTAGTTGTAGATTGGGAATTTCTTCCTCAAATCATCATCTTTTTCCCCAAATTCAAAATCTCATTCAAAACCCATATGGGTCAAAACCAATTTGCAGTCCAAAAAATTTTCAGATGTCGAAGAAAATCCATTATGAAAAACTAAAAACACCATTTTTCTGTTGCAATCACTATCTTTCCTCCACCAATAAAACACCATTTTTCTGTTGCAATCACTATCTTTCCTCCACCAATGAATGCCATATCCCTCTAAGTTCGAAGAAAATCCCAAATTTGCTATCTATATTCGTGCAATGACGTCGGTTTTGTTGTGAACGTGTATCGTGCAATTAACGATGTTAGGGGATATGTGGGCCCTAGATTCTGGAATCCCTTAAAGATTTGTACACCCTTAATGATCTGTAGTTTACAAATCTTTGACATAAACTTAGATTCTAGAAATCTTGTTAAAAATCATCTATTTCTTATGACATGCAAACGATATGCATGATAGGATTAAAAGCACACCACAAAGTAGCACACAAATGTCCTATTAATTTTCCTGATTAATAATAAGATTTATCAATTGTAGCATATGAAAATAAGGGTCTTTCTTGCAGAAGATTGTTTTATCTAACTACTTAAAATGTCACAAAAACTGGGCTGTTGTCCCTACTGACCAGCCACCGAAAAATAATTATTAGACTGACTTACACTTATCTAAAGTCTACGAAATTTTATATGCAGATACTAGACAAACAGAGCTATACTCACACAAATTTTTGGGATTTTTGGAGTTAATTTGCTATTTAAATTAAATTGAACAAAAACAGGACAAAAACAGATTTTAAGTAGTTCGCAAATTAAGAAAAACAAGTTAGGGGAATTGCTATCCACCACCAAATAATCATGCAAAAATGTTATGTTTCATTCAAATTCCTTCTATTTCCGGATGAAGATGCTCAAGTTGGCTCAATGTTATAACTCAACCTATTACTCTTTCTTATGTAGTATGTTAAGAGAATGGCATTTTCAACTTAACTTAGTCCCTAACATGCAATCTAGAATGGCGTGTTCATAGATTTAACAAGTAGAAATCATTAAGAACGAAAAGAGTTTGAGTCATCACAAGGCATCGTAAGTACTAGTGTTGTCTTACTTATCCTAGAAATTGGTTCACATGTTAATCGCAATTAACAAGTACTACTCTAGAACATATGTAGGTCCTCATTTGACAAGGGCAGGCACACACATATTCATAGCATTAGAATCCTAGATATGCTTACTAACTATGCATCCATAGAAAACACATAAAGAATTCATTAATGAGACAAGTAGTGAACCAATTTTCATCCATTCATAAAAGTAATTCAAACGAATTGTCATAACAAACTTGCAACCATATTTGGGACTTCAAAACAGCCCCTAACTACTAAAAATTTAGTTACACATTATTCTCAAATAAAACCAAAAGAAAGACATGGGTTTGAGAAGATAAAACCAAAAGAAGAGAATGCCAAGATTTCCTCTTTCCTTTCCTTCCTTCCCCAACGCAGCAGCCTTGCCTTTTTTCCTTCCTTTCTTTCTTTCTTTTTTTTTTTTATCTTTTTCTTCTCCCTTTGCTGTTGCAACCTGCAGCCCTTTTCTTCTTTTCTGCTGCCACAGTTTTTTCTCCATAACTCACCCCACTAACAATCATTTAGTGATGACAATAAATAAGAGGAAATGCTAAAACAATTGTAACTCTTTGGGCAGCCTTTATGCCCATTACTCCCACTTAAATTTCCATTTCCTCTGATATTTGAATAGGTGTCAGCTGGCTTGTTCTTGGCTGCATCAGTTTTGGCTACTAGTTTTATTGGATTTATTGCTTTCAATGCTTTCTTGTCAGTTACAAACTGCTCAGCCTCTTGGGAACCTTTCAGTGTTAAAACGGCCATAACTTCTTCTAGAAAAATGATATTAACAATCCGCGAAATGCTCCAGAAAATAGACATTCGTAGCTTTCCAAGTATATTAGGCTCATTCTCTAATTCATTCTAAGCTGTCTGAAACTTGCTTCCAAAGTCAATTGACCTGCACAGGCAGTTTTGACGAATTTGTTACTTAAAATTCCAATTGTGATATTTTTCTTTTCTTTACTTGACAAATCCTACAAAACACAAAAACAAAGTAAATAGCTCAAAAATATAAGGAACTAATTAAGAAAAGACAAGTGAATTTGATGTAAAATTTATATAAATATGAGCTTATCAATGCACAGGACATGCACATGATATGCACACAAATCCGAGCCAATCCAAAAATCCAGAGCTCACAGTTCTCTCTTCGAAATCAGAAAAATAACGTCATCACATGTGACGTCACCATCATATACACTATATGCACACCACATGCACATCATATGTACAACACATGATATGCACAGAACTGGAGATCGAACATCAAGCTGCTCTTCACATTACTAAGAAACTTTAATGGCAACCCATTGATATAGTGGATACAATTAAAACATAATTGTTACGTATATAAGGGTACATTGGCAGTTTGAAAAGTCTTATTACGTATATCAACCACCGCTTAACGGTGCACGTGGAAAACATGATACTAGTTGTCTTTATTTCATGGACACGCATGACCCTCAACGTCCTCTAAGCTTTTTCTTAAGTTTGTTTTTCGCCGAGGCCAGTTAGGTTGTGGTCATACTCGCTAAATTCCTGGGCCCAACATGCATGCATTATAACTAGTGAACATTTCCGCTTCTCATATTTTGTTATAGCCATGCACACCACATGTGCATTACAGAAAAAATTTCACAAATTTTGGCAATTGGACACTTGAACCAGAAATTGTTCCATCCTAGTTTTGTAGCACGTCAAAAAGTAAAGTTTATTCCATAACCCATAGACCCAAACATGGAACACAAACCCTAATTTAACTTCTAAGTATTAATTCATTTTACAAACAACCCATTTATTCCATAAATCATTTATGTAGAAACTTAGAACTAAAATAACAAAACCCACAAACAAATGAAAATTTCCAAAACACATTATGAGCTCTCTCTTCCCTATCCCTCTTTTCTTTAACTTCCCATCTCTGCAAATCCAAAAAACCAATTGAAAAAAACAAGTAATTAGATATAGAAATGGAAACGATGATCGAGTTAGAGAGACATGAACCGGATGGCTATGGAAATATGGTTGTCAAAGCTTCACTCGCCTGAAAAAATGGAACTTTCCAGCCAAAACAGAAAATCTGGTACAAAGGTCATATCTTTAAGGATCGAACACTGATGCGAACTAGAAACCCTGACTTCAAAGCTTTACTCTCGACTTCCTTCTCTTCAAAATCAGAGCTCAACCTAGAAACTCAGAGATCATAGAGCTTTCTTGATATCCCTATTGATATGAGCATATTTATGCGACTTTGTTAGCCTATTTCCTTGCATTTACTTAGTTAGTTTCTATTTATTAGAGTTTTTTAAGCCATTTTCATGTGTTTGTAGGTCCAAATGACAAAGTTGGCAAGAAAAGGCAATTTGGAGCATTCTAGAGCAGTTTTGGGCTTAGAATGGATAGCACATGCATGGAGCAAGGTGGATGGATGTTTTTGAAGATCAAAAGAGGCTAGGAATGTGCTTAACATCTGTAAGAATTAATTCAAAACTTGGAAGATAAAGAATTAGCTAAAAGGAATGAACATTATCCAAACCTTATCTTATCTTATCTTAACCTAATCTTATCCCACCTTAATTCCAGATGCAAAGGGGACTCCTTTCCACATTAGAACACCTAAATATATGGATCTAGAAGCATTATCCTTTCCCCTAAACTTGTGCTGCACCACCCTTTCTAGAAGCCTAGAAATCTGCCACATCTTGGATCCTTGTCCTTGTTGGTTTGTGATGCGCAATCATTTTCCAACACAATCTTTTGAGTGCCAAATCCTTCTCCAAAACAACATTGTCGTGCTCCCCTAGCCCTATAAATACCCACATCTACCGCACCATTCAAGGCACCACACACAAGAGCCTAAA